GAAAATGAAGCTGTAACCACAGACCACAGTGCTGCAACTAAATCCTGGTATAAGCGCCGGTTAGGCAGTCTTGAACTATGCATGTGAAGCCAGCTGAGAGGTATATCCAATCCTATAGATTTCTCATTGTTTGGTAACTATTTGCTGCAAATGCAACAAAAATCAATATAAAAATATTACCCACACAGCATTCTACAGGTTACTTGTTATTATAGTATTGAATAGTATTATCACATTAGGTAATTCATATGTTTCACGGTTATTATTAGGTGTAAAGAAAGTTTGAAAATGGACTAAATAAACAACATCTTTAACCACCTGTGAACTGGTTTACCTAATATTTTGAAACAATTGTATAATTAATATGTGGCATAATGAGCGCTCTTTTTGAAACTTGGCAAACTACTTACGCAACTTTTCATAATATTCCGAACTGATGTGTTGCTGGAAAGTGTCGAGCTTAAGTGGGAGAGGTGTGGGCTTTTGTTCGTCAATCTCTCAGTTAAGTTATAAAAATTTAAGTCAACATTCTCCATTTGTGAGTCATTAAACTTCAGCTGTAGGCTGATGTCATCATTTTAGGAATTTACTGGAAAATTACCTAGACAAAATTAACCCCACTCAGTAGAATGTTATATTGACCGGTGATGTAATTTTAACATAGTTTCAAATGACCATGACTCCCCAATAATTCTGAACCATTTCAGTGCACTCTCCTCTCTAAACAACTATAATAACAACAATAATAGACCATGTATATGCCAACTTTTTAACCACCTTCCACTCTTTACTACTTTTGAACATTTTAATAATCCATTCCATGAAAATCATATCTTGCCAAAGACTTATCCGGTTATCATGTTGACAAATTGCACAGTCAATTTTAATTATAGATGGCTAGATTTTTGCAAATAATGTTATCAATGTGGAACTGACATATAATGATATACGCTCTGAAGTGGATGAATTAAAAAAAACTTAAAAACCGTGGTACACTTCATCTTCTCAAGTCAATAAGCATAAACTAAATGTAAAAGTAATTTTGACCAAGAAGTTCATAAACATTACAACTTGTACTTCGTAAATCTAAAAATATTATGAAAATTTTCGGCTCAAGTTGTTTAATTTAAAAATATCTATAGACGAGTTACTGAAACAGTCTCACGGGAAAATAGCAATATACCAAAGCAAATAAAATTGTTTAATACATATTTTGCAAAAATTACAACAACCAATATTGTTCCTATGAGTTACCTCAAAATTTCAAATACTAGTTCATTCTTTAAAATAACCAGGCCACGACAACATAAATTCTAAATTACTTAAATATGCCGCCTGTTACATTAAAGCACCATTGTGTTATTTATTCAACCCCCTTGTTAGTGAATATTTCCCAAATGAAATGAAAACTGCGAGAAATCCTTCACGACATTGATAAAGGATATTTCACTCTGAGCATTTTCTTGATCTGACCAAAGCATTTGATACCATCAATCATCAAATACGTTTGACAAAATTGCAATTCTATGATGTTCGCCGTACTCTACTGCACTGGTTTAAATGTTATCCGATATAACTCTCAAATACTTCCTCCTATGTCATGCGGTTTGGGGACCTGAGCAGCACCTAGTACATCACTATCAATTCTCAGTATACAAAAAACGCTAAATCGCAATATCAATATTAACTCAGTCAATTCGTGATGCATTCTTGACATTTTTGAACAATTTAAATATTAATACGCATACATGACCCAATGCTTAGCATAAACCCATATAAATAACAAGAGTACTTTTTGCTTTACCTAAACATAAATACCCAATTACCCCAATAAAATTATCAGTCTGCTCTACTCCTCTAATTATTTTTATTAGTTGTAGTTTTACCATTGTATTTTGGTTGATGTTATGATGCATTGGTTAAAGCATTGTTTTCGCCCAAAGTATACATTTTCTGTTATTTTATTAGTTCTGGGAGTTAGACTCGACTAAATTAAGTACTTCCCAGCCATGCCTGCATTGTATCATGTCCCTGTAATGAAACTTTTAATAATATGGCAATAAATAAATAAATTTCGCAAAATTTCACATTTCGCAAATATTCTGCTATTATAAGATCATTATTTAACGGTTATTTTATTTCGTTATTATTGACACATTATTTCAACATTGTTTGATAATTGCGCCTTTAATTTATCAATGTTTCACTACTAATTGATTACTTATTATTACAAATTACCTCACCATTATTTGCTTTATCCGTTGTAATTAATATTTTATGTCACCGTTATTTTGACATCTCGTTTTTAATACCACATGATTTCATTATTATTTGATCGTTATTTAACTATTCATTCGGTTATATTGTTTATTATTGTCACATTATTTCACCATTGTTTGGATATTTCATTATTATTACAACATAATTTCATGATTATTTTACGGATTGTATCATTATTTTGTTGTTATTTGCTCATTTATTTGATGTCATAATTTTGTTATTTAATATTTGTATTTAACATTCTATACCTGTGACATTCTTATAACATTGTTTGTCGTGGCCGTGAAACCATGTTTTTCCATGACAAAGAAGGCGACTGTTCTTAGCTACGAAATGGTCAGAATAGTTAGTGGTATAATAAATAAACTTCCAAATAAAGACATGCTAATGAAAATGTTGTTGGAACATATATAACAAACTGATTGGTTTACTCCTTCTGATTTTTTAAATTTTAAATGAATAAACATTACGTACTGATGTTCATCTCAACCAAAATCTATTCGATTGATCCATATGTAAATATTGTGAGAATTAATTCACAGAACTTTGAATTAATAATGAAAAATCATTGTCGAAATTTATTTTCATGGCAATCGGAACACACATCGCTACCACAATTTGTAAATATCAGTAATATATATTAGTTAAAATGAAAAGTAGTCGATGTTCATGCCGCCATACCTGTTTGAAAACAATGTGAACCACAGTACAGTGTTGAAGTTAGTTAAAAAGCGTA